CGCTAACGAAAAAGTGGTTACTTTCAAAACGCCCGTCTGTGAACACCACAAGCGCCTAAACCACGCGTAGGATGTTTTCCAAATTGAAGAAAACACAATCCATCTGGCTCAAGTCGAAGCTTCGAGATTTTGAAAAACTTTCTTTAAAATTTGAGGGTAATTTACATGACGCCTCCCGCACATTCTCAACGGCTCCAAATATTTTCTTTAAATTTCTTGTATGAATGGAGTGAATGGTATGAATGGAATATACACTTATAAAAGTAGCATTGGTCTGATTTCCACGGTTAACCCTAAATTTTCGAAAATTTTATAAGTATAAATTTTTTTCGGTGTCTTCCTACAACTACAAAATTGAAGATACAGATTTTTCCTTCAAATAAAATTTGTTCTCCGCAGTAAGTTCCTTCATTCAGGCTGTGTATTTATTGAATTGTATATTTCCCCCCAATATCGCGAGCAATATGTGCAAATTAAAAAAAAATTACAAAGACAAGATTTTCTCAAAAACAGCTGCAAATTTTTTCTTTACACTTTTGGCAGGGATAGTGCTAAATGCACTCTATAAGATGACAGACGTCAGGTTGCTCTATTCCTTTATTTTTTTTAAAATTACAAAAAATGTAATTATTTTCACTTGTATATCACTTTGTTAATATTTATATTAGAGACGATTTGTTCACATTTATGTATTAATGAGTACATGTGCTTTAAACAATGTCCGATAAAGCTTCTCGAACTAAACCTTTTTCTGTAAACGAGCTAAAAAAAATTTCGCATTTGCAAAAACACCCGAACTCTATTTCCTCAAAAATGTCTCCAATTCTTTTCTACAAACTTTTCGAAAGGATAGTGCTAATTACACACTTTAATTTGAGGAAAAGTTAATTTCGAGTTTTTTTTCTTTTTTTTAATTACACAAATATTCATTTGAAAGATCTCTCACGCTGGTAATATGCATATTTCCACCAATTTGCAAAAACAATTGTTTTTGTGAGTTAAGGTGCTTCAAATGAAGTTTTTCGAAAATTCAAAAAAAATCTGTGAAAAAGTGCTTCAAATTTCGACTTTACTCTAGCGCCAATTTCTAAAAACCACTTCAAAATTTTCAAAGAAAATTGCCATTTAGGACGAGGATTTAGGAAACCAAAAAATTAGAGAAAAAACATTCTTAGAGCGGCGATAGATGGCAGCAGGCAAGTTCGTATAGTTAATCGAGACCAAAGGAAATATAAAACTAGTACGGAAATTCGTTGTACCACTGGTTTTTTATTAAATATATAAACTAGCATTCAGTAATATATTTTAATATTTAATTAATGATGGGGGAGCACCAACTACGCCATTGAATGGCTCAAAAGCAGTTCATTTACATTACGAACTACGGCTTGGATGCCATAGACAGTACCTGGTCTACGGCATTCCTGCACGAACACCTGACAAACCGCTCGCGCATTCCGGTCAGCCGCACCACCAGCTGAAGTCGCGCCGTCGGAACGTCCGCGCATATCAGCTGAACGGATCCTACTAAACCCGCGCAAACGGTGTCAGAGGCGCTAAGGTCATTATCAATCTCAATAACCAGAAACGCTAAGGTCATTATCTTCCGAAATTATACAATATTCACGAGGAGCAAGAGATAGAAACCGAACTGTCACTTTTCAAGGAACATATTTAAAAAATGTACATCATAAAAACTTTCAAAATAAAGAAATGCATCAGCATTTTTTAGCAGACAGTACTAGTTCACTACTTGAACTTAAAAGTTACGAAAAGTAAAAAGTATTGTTCATCATTAAAAAATAAACCATTTTTACGTGAGAATTTGTTAATGTCAACTTTGCTTTACTTCACGTTGAAGGCTAATTCGACTCTTTTGAAGTAAACAATGCTCTTCAACAACAAGATTGAGCCTTCGAGGCAATTCTCAATTGGAATGATATATCACGAAATATAAATTAACTATTTTATATTCATAATTATTTAGAAAATGACTTACTGGTGGTGGCTGTCGTGGACGTCACACTTAAAATGCACATTAAAATTATCCAAGAACTATGCGTCACGCTACCTCTAACCGAACCCATTTCTTCTGAACATCATCAGCCACTATTCCTCACTCACAATATCGCAAAATCACACAGACCACTCTGCTACTGCCTTCCACGAGAGCAGTTTGACAACTGAACCAACAGAGGCTGAAGCGACCAACGTTGCCATGGGAAACATTTCGACCCTTATATCGATACCTAGCGCTCGAGATCGAGCTCTCCCGTAATCGATATGTCATTCACGTACACTTTCTCTTAAAACAAAGGCATTAACTGCTTAAAAAAACACTTCAAATTGCGATCAATATTTTATTTCATACAATAATTTGTTCATAAAGTAGCATCTGTTAAAATGTGAGAAAATAAGGACACTAATGCACTAAAATGAGATTTATCTTCACTGTATTCTAAACAGGCAAGATAGAGATGCCTTCTGCTTTTTAAATTCTCATTAATTATAAGAGAATTAGTAATGTACCCCCAAATGGATAGCAACTCCCAACATCCACTGGAATGGAACACAACAGTTCTAGAGCTTTATGTCCTTTTAACAAGGCTTCCAACCATATGCTTCAAATGCACTGCAAGAAAGTGAGTCATTGGGATAAAAAAAGGATACCATATTTATGTCAAAACAGTAAACATTGTTCTAAGAACAAGTAAGCCTTGCAAAAGAATATAAAGTCCTAAAACAGAAACTTTCTTTAGTCTACATCACAGGTCAATCAGCCAAAACCCACCATCACTATTGTAGTACGTATATTTAAAACTGTGAAATGGTAAAAGGGTCAGATATAGTTCTTGAATCTCTTTTTCGTAGCGACATTACATTTTCAACCTTTTAATACAGAATTCATAGAGAATAACAATGCATTCCTGAACGGCATGTAAATATCTATTCCTTCAATACCAGGTTGCTTAACAAATAAACAACCATATTGTGTATTACCAATTCAGATGACTAGTTGTGCAATGTGTGCACAGGTAATTTTTTTGTTTTCCTCATAAAATATTTAAACAACACTCATAATGTGCAAATTTACAAAAAACAAAAACATCATTTCATTACAACAAAATTTGCACATAAATGGGACAATACTTAAAAGCTGGTTTCTGATGAGGTAAGACAAACCCAAGAATATCGTGTAAAATAAGTAAGTTGAGATTTTTGCAGCTCAAGATTCTACAGCAGTAATAAGACAGCTTTCTTCCACGTTTTCTTTGTTTCTTATTGATAATAAAATAAAATATTAAATAAAATTTCTTAACTTTTTGAGTTGCCTTTAAGCAACCTGAACATAAATTTCATTACAATACTTTTTTATGCATAAGATATTTAAAGAAAAATTAATCATACAACTACGTGACAATTTAATTTCTCTTTCCCACGAAACCAGCAAAACAAATAAAATTAAAATTCATGTGATAATGACAGTGACAGAGACTTCAAGACTCAAACATCTGAAATGAAAAACACAATATATACATATACATTGGCTATACATGGGTGCTTCATCCAGACAGTTTGTTATTTGTTAATATCAATCTGGAAAAAGATTGATACATTTTGAAGTTTAACTGTTACTGATTAGCTGCATCAAAACAGCCAATAATGCTAACTATTTAATTGATACAGAATCCTTTCTTGTTTATTGCACTGTAATTAGATACAGTAAAGATAAAAGTAATGCAGGTATTTAAAGTAATGAAACACTTCTGAATGTATAAAAGAAATATCTAACAAAAAACATACTGTCTATAGCAAAATAAGACGATCATATTTTCTGTGATGACCTACATATACAAGAAATACAATTCTTTACTAAAACTTTCCATATTTTCTATTTACAAGTAATTTATTGAAGTGCATAGCCACTTAATGTTTCTTTGCTTCATTTCATTAACACAAGAGAAACACTGAGATACATTAAAGAAAGCACGATTCAGATGTAATTTGGCTACTGAAACACAGCCATTTACTGTTCATTTTGTACACATCAGTTTTACTTCTTTCTCACGTTTTATAACAGAGTTCACACAATTAAAAATACACTTCTCAAGAGCACAACAAAAATTAAATTTTGAGTGTACTTTTTGAAGACATGTTTAGAGTCGCAATCAGAAGTATTGTCTACATTTTACCTTACTGTAAGTCCAAGTCTTGTAACAAAACTATACACACACACACACTCATTCATTAACTTGCTCACCAGATGCACGGTAGAAAATGAAGATACAACACACGGACACATCAAGTTTAGCATATGTTCATTGCGTCCTTAAAAAATAAAGTTCTAAGTTAAAACATGATTTCTGAAAGAAACACTGTCAAAACAGCCTATGATCTTATATCATCATTTCACCTCTCTATGCAACCCGTGAAATAAATTGAAGTATACAATCTTCTACAAATGTGCCTACTTTGTAGCGATTTGCCATATAGTTTCACCAGTTTACAGTTTACTGCTTTCAAACAACAGGAGGGAAGGGATGATCAAACACTTCAAGCTATTTGCTTTAGGATATTCACTGATATAACACAGGTACTGCAATGTGGTTTTCATATGTTGGTTATTACGTAGGAAGTATAGTTTCTGAAGTATAGGCTCCATTCTGAAAGAAAAAAGAAATATGCAAAATACTATTTTACTCAACACAAGAACTATCAAGTAAGTTTCTTTAACACATGTCAATATGTATGGCTAAGATACCCTCCCGCACCATTTCGAACTGACTCGATAATAAAGGAATACAAATCAATAAAAGAACTCTGATGATTTAATTTCCTGACATTTCTCTTCACAAATAGTATCCAGTGGATAAGGGAATTTTTCTTAACTTATAGTGTATCGCAATTCTAATATAAATGGAAAATTGAAGAATTAATAACAAAGCACGTCTTAGGTCTTTTAATTATGTAATAACCCACAAATTTGGAAACAATTCTTGAATATTGGAAAACATAATTGTTCTTGAACACTTTTATAAGCCTTTTATACCACTGGAAGGAGACAAATGGTTTAGCCAACAGCAAGTCAAGAAAGTAAACAGATCATTTACATAAGAATTTATTTTGAAATTTCAAGGTTCAATTATTATGCTTATTTACAAATGAACAGTCTTGTTTTTCGACCTCTGCACCATGGAATTTTCAAATCTTAAATACAGCATTACACAAAAGATAAGTTATAAGACAATAAGGAGATATGCAAATCAAAATAGAATATAATCAAAACAATTTCAAAGAAATACTTTGGCCGATTATAGTTAAGTTTTAAATATAACAATTTCACTGGTACATTGTATTGCATCACCACTCACAAAGTAGATAAGATAATTTTTGTAATGAAATATGGCATCAAAATGTATCTTCAGAAATAGAAATGTATGTTTAAACTCTAATCAAAATCATCATTGTGTAAGTTGAAAACACACCGAGTGATCTCCCCTTTACAACTATGATTTTGCTTGTTCACTTATCACTGCACCTAACTGCAGAGAGTTTTAACTGTAATTATTATTGTACCTTCTTTTAGCACCAAATGCATTTATTTTTAATATAATGATGGAATTTATTCAAAATCTAAAATTTAGATGTAACTCTTTTGTAGCAGTTTTGCCTGCTAATAACAATGCATTCTGAACACTGTCCAAAACAATATGCAATATAGTTGTTTGTAAAGAAAACACCCCCTAATGTGTGAAGTTAGGGGTAGTACTGTCAGTGCTACCTCTATGATCTGGATTACTTTCAGAACTATCTGATTCATCAAAAACAATTAATTCAAAAGAAATACTTTAACAGTGGCATCACAATTGACAGGGTGGGGGTGGGGGCAAGGGGTGCCAATGATGGACCCCACCCTAGTTCTTCCCAATATTCAATATGTAAGGAGTTGCTGTTTCATGTTACCATTGTTTAGTGGACACTATGGCATTGTCTTATAACCAGGACTGCCCATAAATACTTTGTAATTTTGCTTCAGCATGTGTCAATGTAGATAACAATGCAATTGGATGAAAGTATTGCATTGTATAGGGGGGGGGGGAGTGCTTGCCATCTGTTCCAAATATACACACCTTTGCTACACCTCATATACTGAAAATATTTTACCACAGACTTGCAGAAATAATTGTAATATGATGCTAAATGCTTGAAGCGCGCACACAGACTGGTGTTCTCCAGGTAACAGAATGGCATTGGTATTCAGCTGATAACACAATTACACTCACTCAATCATGTCTCTCTTGATAATTGTAATGAAACACCACTGAATAGCTACCACATTTGAGGCATTCATTTGTTGTCTAATGTGTGTGTCACTGAATATCAATTTTTCATTCATCAAAATTGTTACCCATGCCTTTTTAACAATTACTGTGATTTATCTCTAAACCATACAAAAACTAAAATCTGATCCCTGAGAAACCTCAGGGAACATTTTCTTTTCTCAATTAAAAATAAATATTTTAGAGTATTTACCAAGATGTAAGAGAGCTCACTTAGGGCGTAAAGTTTACTGAAAATGTGGAACTGTTTAATACAAAACTTAAGTAAAGAATTTAACAACGAAAGAGCAACTACCTTGTGTTTCTGACATCGAGCAATATAGGATTCCTCATTTAGGTCCCAGCCTTGGTCCAGAGCACATCCATAATGTACACGTAAATCACAGGCACGCCGCACACAACCAACATTGGCTCCACCTTCACCACATTTGCTACACATCTGTAAAATATTAATAATTACATTAAATGTGATTATAATTATACATTACGTAGTGAAATAGCACTTAGTAACAATATAAACATATTCTAATCAGTCAGAATCCTTCTACTTTACTGCTTACCGTACGCACAGAACTCCAAACTGCTTCTTGCAAACCAACTATGTGTGAACCCACTAAATAAACACCAGCCGCCCACACAGCACAAGCCTCATGAACCCAAACTTCAAAACAACCTTCTTCCTTACCCCCCGCGCTTGGGGCAATTGGTATCATGCCTCGCATAGGTAAGTCGGTGGACTGACTTCTTTTAATCTGAAAGATTAGAAACAAATTCACAATTATTATTGAATTACATCACTGAAGGTAACAAACGAGAGATTAAATACAAATACTCACAAA